TGAATTGAATCTGTGAGAGTTTGTGAAATAGGGTGATTAGTATTGAACCAGTAAAAAACATCACTTTTTTTTTTTTAGAGTTGATTCCCCTGAGTAAGAAGATTAAACTAATGGCAGGAGTGTTATATACAAGACAGCGTATATACGACGAAAAACCTATTTTTGATCCTAAAGAGTTTAAGAAAATGCTTGAGAAAGCTGAGCCGTCGCTAAGAGGTTTCTTTGATCAATTGGTAGCTGGGACGAATCCACAAGCTAAAAGCCACATGACTAACGAAAAAAACAAAAAAAGACTGGTTTCATTTTGCTATTTTTTTGCAGGTCTTAATAATAAATTTATCAACGGCGTTAAGGCAGAGGTTGGACTTTTGTTAGATGTATCTGGTGCATCTTCGTTGGCAATTGAGACCTTAGCTGGTGTGGAGATATCAATGAGGCATGAAACTATTGCAAGGCAGAAGGCCTAGCATGTACAAGCATACATGGAAACAGTTAGAACATTTTTAACAGAGAATGTAATAATTTTTTTTTTTTTTTTTTCAATTAATTAACTAACTTTTATTTTTGGCAGATTAAAAATTTAGTTGTTTTGAATGTAGATGATTTTCATAACATCCATGAATCTCGTCGTAGCGATACAACCAGCACGCATGACATTTCTCATTTTACCACAATACTCTTAAAAGCGTTGCCCAAAATGCCATCAATTCCGTTTAATAATCCCAACCAAGAAAAGAGTATTCATAATAATAAGGGAATTGATTTTGATATTATTATTGAAAATGCTAATTCACTTTTTTTTTTCTCATTTATGGCTTAGTTATACAGGGCAAAAAAATGTGTTTAATGATTTGTTTAGGCAAGAAACTCACAACGAACGAGTTGAACATCTTCTTGTTCACAGTTATGAAGATAAAATCGAGCAGTGCCAAACGGATCGAAGCATGGAAAATACGAAGCTTGTTAATTTAAAAGAAGGATTTCTTCACTCGACCGAAGATTATGTAAACGTATTAAAATCTTTAATCAATATTCCCAAGGCAGAAACTTATTTAAGGATACAAGTTTTAATAGCATCTATGAATTATCCTGGACAACTACATGTACGGTGTGCCATTACTCATCTTCTTAAATCTAACGATTCTTCTGGAATTCTGGAGCAGGCTTTACATATCATTCCAATGATTGGACCTTTACATGTATCCTTAAATAGTCGTGAGACTGTGTTTCTTTTAAATTATGATTTTTTTGATATACTTTTTCATGCAGTCTTTGGTTGTAATAAGGTTTTGGCAAAAAAGCCAAAACCTTATAAAATTAATTTAATTTTAGAAATAGCATATTAGGGATGGTCTCGAGTCCATTCTATAGTAATGCAAAAGTTCGAACGTTCTAAAGACCCCGAAGTCCGATATCTAATTAATTTATTAGATAATATTGTCCTGTTGGTTTTGGATTTTTATCCCATTATCTTTCATAGCGAAAATTAGGAAGCATATATCGAAGCAATATTTCGTGTTTGGATTGTTTTTTATAAATATCAACGAAGACATTATAATAAATTGCCATTAATGTTTTTAAGTGATGTTTTTTACTGGTTCAATACTAATCACCCTATTTCACAAACTCTCACAGATTCAATTCACATCTTTAATGATTATTATGTTGAGAATTTTCACAGCTCACTTTGGCGACAAATACATGAATCAAACACAGAAGATCAAATAAATCAAGAAGCACGAATAATCGATCAGACACGTGGCAACAATTCCTTCACGAATACGTTTGCAGAAAGTCATAACATCAGATATTCGCCAAAGCAACTAGAATATCTTGAAAAACGTACTTCACTTTTTTTACTAAAATTTTTTATTAGTGTTTACAGGAATATTGGTGGGTCAAAGGCCATTTCATCTGATACACGTTCGAAACCGAAAGCGTATGAATTTCCAATGCTAAAAGCTCAAGTCAATATAGACATAATGTCAATGGGTTGGAATACAGCACACATTCCAAAGAACGATCGATTTTGTGACTTTGAAGATTGCGTGGATTCTAGTGAGGTAGGTTGTATTCTAATCTGTGGACATGCTTATCATTTCGAATGTTTTTTATTTAATTTAGGAAGCCAATGTTGGTATTGTATTGACTACCTTGTGAGTGGAATTGAGAAGAACTGTAAGGCTTTTTAAAAAACCTTAGAATTGTCGGATGAAAAGGCAAAAAAAAAGAATTTAGATAATAGTGAGGTTAACGAAGCCAGCGATGATACTAGTGACGAAAATTTTTTTTTAGATGCGAATGTAGATTGTAGTAATGTAGATTCACTTGTTGAGGGAGCTATAAATTCTTTAGCAAATGTGTAATTAAAATACTATAAATTTTTTATAATTTTGTATATTATTTATTATTATTTTTAAATAAATAAATTATCATATGTTTCAATCATAATTCTTTATAATTATTATATTTATTGCATCAATTTTATAGTATTAATAAAAAAAAAAATAAAAAAAAAATAATAATTTATTCATAAAATAATATTTTTACAAATTCCTGCATTTACATACATCTAATCCCACACCTTCGGCGCTATGTTACAAATTTAACACCTCTCTCATTAACATTTACTCTATTCTCAACATACAAGATCTTAGGTCGTCAACATTTTACACCACTATTCACATTTCGAAGTTCATATCTTCAACGCGTAAGATCTTGTACCGATCTACTAAGGATGAAGACAAATTAAAAATAAAGAAAAAAGCTTAAATACTCAATATTAATTTATTTATAAAGCTATATCTTTGTTTACTATCAAAATTATACTTTTATGTTGTACATTACTTGGTTTATTACTTGGAGATGCTTCTTCCTGTTACGGGTTCTTTAAATCTCGTTAATAACTGAAGTAAATGCTTCTTATCTAACTTCCAAATTACCTCGTGGATTATCGAATTACTTTGTCAGTTTATAAAGCAAAGCGTGAACTTTCAATTTTTTTTTGTCTTACCCTCTCGGAATTCGTATTTGTGGCTCTGAATTCAATCTTGTGATAGAAAATCGTTACTTTAATAAGATTTCTTATGATAAGATGATCTTCAAAATTGGCCAATCATAATAAAGCCCGCTATGCTATGTAGCCTTGGCTACATATAAATTATTTTTATTTTTTTATTTTATTTTTTTTTATTTTTTTAATTTTTTTTCAAAATTTCAAACTCCGATTAGGCGGAGTTTGAATTTTGTTAATTTTGTGGGAATTCGAATTCCCATAAGTCACGTGACTTTTCCGCTTAGTCGGAGTTTCAAACTCCGTTTCGGTAAAGTTTGAAAATCCTCAGATTTCACATTTCTGTAAAATCTGAAATCACATGACTTCGTCAGAGTTTAAATTGCCTCTTATTCACTTTTTACTTCTTACTTTTCTCTTTACTTTTCTCTTCGCTTTTCTATTCATTGCTCTTTTCTCTTTTTCTCACCTCACCTTCCCCTTTCTCTCACCCACTCATCCAACCTCCCAACCTTTCTTCCACCCACACTCCATCTCTTTATTTCTCTCCTTTACTTTATAAAAAAATTTTTATCTTCGCTTCTTAACTCTATCTACTATTACCCAATTCTCCATCACTAATTAATAAAATAATACTTTTGCCTTTTTATGCCTGCGAAGCAGGTATAAAAAGGCAAAAGTGTTACTTTTTTTATTATGTGATACAGAATTGCCAAATAGTAGAGAGTAAATTCAATCTATCTGCTATGAAATATTTATTTGAGCATTAAAATAATTTTTAATTTTTAATTCTAATATATTTAAATTTTTTGTTGGTTATAAAAAATTTTTAATTCTTTTTTTTTTAATGATCTATTTATTATATTAAATTTTTTAGATTGCTTAAAATAAATACTATGCAAAAAAAGCCTACTATATAAGCATGTAATAACATGCAGCAACATGTTATTTTGAGCTTTTGCATATTATTTCAGAACATGTATACACAATAATTCAAATCATTATGCTAATTTTGAAAATATTTTTAACTACTTTCTTAAATAATAATATGTACATATAAAGGGGCACATTATTTTAAGACATGCATAGATGCTATTTTTAGTCAAATATGGTATTTTTAAAAAAATCAAAATTTTGAAATAATACTTATATGAATTATTACACACTTATATAGTACTTCATAGTAAATTTGTTTAGTAAATTACTTACACAATTCTCTTTACTATTTTTTTATATTAATTAGTGATCCACCAGTCAACTAGAGAATGATCATAGTAAAATGTGACTCAAATCATTTATAAAAATTAGGGGTTCTAAATATGGCATGCATATATCTAAAACTTTTTTTATACAGTCAAACCTCCATAAATGGAATACATACAGACTAGCCTCAATCATGCATTTAGAGAGGTTTGCATTTAGAGAAAGCCAA